TATGTCATTGCCATACTTCTTGAAATAAAGTGAAACAGAATAGAAAAGACCATTCTTACTGAGACATGCCCGGGACGTCATAGGCGGTGTCGATGGTGTTCTTCCCGGCAGAAACAGCAGCTGTCAAGAGGAACCCGTATGGCCTGAAAGCTGCCTTCAGATCTCTAAGCAGCTGCACGAAGTTCCCCTGAAACAGGCCCGAAACGAAAAAAAGTATTCGTATCATCAACTTCATACTCGAAATATCTTTAAATATCTATCTACCTGCAGACGGGAAAACGTCAGATACGAACAAAGTAGGAACCACGAAAATTTTAAGGGTGCGAAATTTTAAATAACATTTGTTCTTTTACAATTTTTTTTGTCTTGCTCCCGTTCTGATGAAAGCTGTGACTATGAATAACAGATATATTCCCTGGCTTTCCAAAATTGTTTGTTCTTAGCCCCGCTAACGAAACATGTGCAGACAAACTTCATATCAAATTTCGAACGAGGAACTCCTGGTGAAGCAACGTTTGATATTCGGGGAAACAACTCTTTTTGGTGCAGACGCTCGTAAATGCCCTGTCTATCGTGCGTTTCGCATCCCGCTTGCAGGTAAGCCAAATTACTACATTTTTGGTCGATCCAATGCAATAGATCCCAGAGCGAGGCAAAAGTCCACACACCTTGTCGGCGGCGCTGCCTCCTCTATTGGCCGGGTATTCCCAGTCCATGTCCAGTCCGTCGAATCCGTATTGCTTGAGGAGATCCACGCAGCTTGCCACGAATGTCGCTCGTCTCCCCGCATCTGCTGACATCTACGACGTTACGCATAGAAATGAAATGAAACACATTTGTGAAATTGTGGTGGTGATGACATTCAGCAGGAATTATTTTTGTTCATCCATCTACAGTAAAATCTAGGATTATGTCGGAAAAGCATCTTAGCCTACGGTCAACATTTAAAAGCAACGTAATCTTATGACGTAACCGTTTTTGAACGAAGTGGTTAATGCGGTGTGTTGTGTTCACTTGACTGCCCTGCTGAAATAATTTCATGAGGTTTTCGGAAAGAGACCTCATGAGAATAATCTCGTGACCCAATAAGGTCATGAGAATGACCACATGAGGTTAGGAACAGGCGTCTCGTGAAACTGACTTCATGGTGGCTTCGAATAGAGGCGCCACTTGCCTCGTTAGCCACGAAAGGTTTCATGGGAATCAGCTTGCAATCAGCTGAGGCCTTAGGGAAGAAGTAATTATTTACGCAGAAATATGGACAACAACTGTCAACAACGGACAGCAACTGATACAATTGTCATTTATTCCATCCTGTGGGCCAGAATCGTCTGGAGTCTCACTGAACTTGGCAATCGCTTCGGACAAGTGTTATTAGAAAATTGAATACATTTGAATATGTTCTATGTAAAAATAAAAATATGCATCCAACTTTGAGAGTACAGGAGAGATACTTCAGTGAGATCATATAGTCGCCATCTCTCGTCGGTTGTGCTCTGCAGAAAAAACCTCAAGAGGTTTCCGAACAAAGGCCTCATGAGGATTACCTCATGAGAAAGTCGTGAGATCTCATGAGACCTCACGACTTTCTAATGATTTATAGCGAATTTTTTTTTTTCACCAGCGTGACGGAACATCGAGCTGTTGGCTGGCACTTTTTGAAAATCTGTCAATTCTTTCAAAAGATGCATCAATGTCCGCTAAGAGATATTTCATCTTAAATCAAAATGTTTTCACGTGTCGGCTAGTTGGTCCCGGAAAAATGCCCAATGTAAAGATTTTCCCTTCATTATTATAACTGGGCCATGTTTTTTTGCAGAGTGTATCCTGCAGAAGATCTTATTTATTAATTAATAATAGCGTAGATACCTGGGAAAAGCTGGTTGATCCCTCATTCCATCCTCCGACGGCCAAGAGAGTTTTAAGTCCCGGGCTCTTGCTCTTCAGAGCGTTGAATCGTCGGAATGCATCTGTAAAAAGCAAAAAAACTCAATGTAACGGCGTTTAATAGGTGCTGTTGCAAGATGAGGCCCACTTGAAAGCGGTTTGCATGAACTGAACCTGATATATGCACATCTTCATTTAAAAAAAATCTATTTTACGTGCACATTTCTCCTTAAAATTTTCCTCGATTGAAAGTAATCGGGTTACGCAACTGGTGATTACCTTTCCCGGAGCCAGACGAGTCAACGATTTCATTCCATGGATCGAGCACCTTGATTTTGTTATCTTGGCCGACCCCGGCAAATGCATAGACGAGGTGAGTGCAGAAAGTCGGGTCGATCTGCTCAACGTCAAATTTCCCATCTCCAGGCCGGTAAACAGCCCAGCTCCCGTAGTAGCACACGATAACCTTCCCACTCACCATCGCTACAGTTCGAAAATAAATGCTCAATGCATTCCCTGGATTTTACATTTTCGGCATCATGTTTCGAGTGGAAATGTGTTTACCTTGTTTCTCGACCATGATGGAAAAGAAAGCCGAGAGGAGCAAAATCACCAGTTCCATCTTTTCGCTTCTGATTTTAAGTCCTTGGAAAAAAAAAAAAACCAACCGTGCTGAACCTAAACAGGGAGAGAAAATCCGATTCGAAATGGAACTGACCTGACTGGATGTAAGGACGACGACTGAACGAACTCGATCATAGGCCTGCCTTATAGCTCTCCCAACATCCGTGTTCCCTCGATCCTCGCGGGGGAACCCGGATGCATGGGAATGTGATCCCATTTTTGCATCGTCCCCCGACATGTGCGCTCAGGTATATAAGTTCTGCGTGACTTTTGCAAGCTAACACATCTGTCTTCTGGCAACCCCACGTGAATGCGCTCGCTTGTCTTTTCATATTCTATCTGAAATTTCTCAGTGCCAAAACGTTCTACAAGCATTGACTCCACGAACGAAACTTTATATGCTTTGTCAACTACCGGTTTAAGCAGCGAAGAATTTCGTCGAAATTCGGACTCTAGGAAACCTGAAGCTACTGTACACCACTCTTTCAACGGAAATATTTAAGGCTTTAGAATTATATGAAAGTTTTCCATTTTCGGAATTTTTCTCAAATAAATTTGATAATTGTCAAAAATATGTCCTGCTCCTTTGCCACAAGATCGATTAGAGTTTGTATATTTAAAAAATTACTGATGCAACATCTCATATACACAGTGGTCCTATTTGAGAGGGGAACCTCCCAGGCCTAGAGTGTCATCCCTGCGAGTTCGAGGGCGTGTGATGACGTCAGTGAGCCGTTCCATTGCAAGAGCAGGTGGAACGACAGGCAATAGTTCTCTGGATGGGCACGAAGGCGTTCGATCTCTCTCCATTCCTCTTTTTTCTCTTCGGCCCGCTTCGTTCCCATCGGTACACTCACTGTCGCCCAATATGACTAGATTAGCAACCTTATAAAGAAGGATGATGCTATAAGGGGTCGACATTGCGCAGCTGCATGTACGAGGTGACGCATTGTTGTGCGCAATTCGTCATGGAAGACTTCCTTCAAGCAAACCAGCAATCTGTTATTCGCTACTGTGTTTGGCGTGGATTTAATGCATCAGCAACATTTACAGCAATGAGACAAGCATAAGGAGACGAATATATTGGGAGAACAACGGTGTTCAAGCGGCATGAGCGGTCTACGGAGGGGCGGGACTCTTTCGCTGACGACACACGTCCCAGAAAGCTTTCACCATCCATCCTGATGAGATCGCTATCGCTCTCTGTCGAGCGCGAAAACAACCCATGCTATCCTCACTGAT